TGGGCCACTCTGAAACCAGAAGTCAGGAGATTCTTCTGGGTCTTCCACACAGATGCACCAGCCCAAGGCCTTGGGCTACCTTCCACTGCTTTCCCAAGCACATTAGCAGGGAGCTAGACTGGAAGTGGAGCAGCCAGGACTTGCACCAGAGCCCATATGGGATGCTGGAACTGCAGGCTGTGGCTTTACCCTCTATGCCACAGTGCTGGCTCCAATTCATTATTTTTTTTTGACAGGCAGAGTGGACAGTGAGAGAGAGAGACAGAGAGAAAGGTCTTCCATTGCCATTGGTTCACCCTCCAATGGCCGCCGCAGCCGGCACGCTGCGGCCGGCGCACCGCGCTGATCCGAAGGCAGGAGCCAGGTGCTTATCCTGGTCTCCCACGGGGTGCAGGGCCCAAGCGCTTGGGCCATCCTCCACTGCACTCCCGGGCCACAGCAGAGAGCTGGCCTGGAAGAGGGGCAACCGTGACAGAATCCGGCGCCCCGACCGGGACTAGAACCCGGTGTGCCGGCGCCACAAGGTGGAGGATTAGCCCATTGAGCCACGGCGCCGGCCTCCAATTCATTATTTTTAGAAGCCTTTATTTTCTCCTTTTTTTCTGGAGAGTTCTTCGAAGTTGACCAGTCAATTTGGCAAGCTCATGAGTTTGAGTGGTCAGCCAATCAAGTTGGTGCCTTTTGATCGGAATGACTATGTTTGCATCTAATGTATTTAGGGAATTAGAGTTCTAAAGTGTATCATTTGAATTCAAACAACTCAATAGCAAAAAGAAAAAATATCAAACATTCCAATTTAAAAATGGGGAATAGATCTAGACAGACATTTCTCAAAAGAATACATACAAATGGCCAATAGGTACATGAAAAAATGCTCAACATCACTAACCATCAGGGAAATGCAAATCAAAATCACAAGGAGACATCATCTCACTACAGTCAGATTGGTTGTTATCAAAAAGTCAAAAGACCACAAGTGTAGAGAAAAGGGAACCCTTGTACACTGTTGGTGGAAATGTAAATTAGTACAGTTATTCTGAAAAGCAATATGGAAGTTCCTCCAAAAACTACTGATAGAACTACGATATGATCCAGTAATCCCACTCCTAGGTAGATAGTCAAGGGAAATGAAATCCACTGGATGAAGAAGCATTGTCATATCTGTTGCAGCATTATTCCCAGTAGCCACAAAATGAAAATAATCTAAGTGTCCATCTACTGATGAATATATAAAGAACATGTGGTACATATACACAATAGTATATTATTCAGCCTTAAAAGGTTGCAATCTTACCATTTGCAAAAGCATGGATGGAACTAGAGGTCATTATGCTAAGTGAAATAAGCCAACCACAGAAAGACAAATCACTTGATCTTACTCATAAGTGGAGTAAAAAAGTACATAGTTGATCTCATAAAATTTAAAAATATTATTGCAGCTTCCAGAGGCTGAGAAGGAAAGTGGGAGGGGTTGGGAAAAGTTGATTGATAGGTAGTACTAGGTTATATACCTGGACAGGAGTAAGAATTTCTGGGGTTTTATTGCACAGGGGGGTGAAAATAGATACTACACATTTATGTACATTTTTCTATAAAAAACTAGAAGGTAAGATTTTTGAGGTGTTTTCACTATATAGAAATGGTAAACACTTGAAAGGATAAATATATTTATCATGATTGGACATTGCACAACATATACATGTCATGAAACATCACATAGTACCCCATAAATGTGTACAATTTTTATGTATCTGTTAAAATAGTTTAAACAATAAAATTTTAAAGAGTATGATTTTGATTATTTTGAGAACTTATTTCAGCTACTCCAGAATATTGTTTGACAGTTTTTTCAAAGACATTCATAATAATCTAGAACAGATTCATCTGGATTTTGTTTGCACTAATGGATCTTCTTCCAATCTACAAACTTTTGAAAAAAAATTGAGCTATGGCATCATATAAAGGTCCTTTGCCACAAAGTGAGCATTGCTTTTAGTCCTCTAATGAATTATTCCAATCTGCTTTCTTTTTTGTTCTTCAGTCCTTCCCTTAGAGAGTAACATATGGACCAAGTGATAAAAGTCAGAGAATCCCTAGTTTTAAGTTAGAACACTTAAGTCAAGTTCTCTAGAAATCTTCTGGGGTCCTTAGTTGGATTAGGAAAATCCTTGAAGACACTTTCAAGTTCAGATGTGCTCAGTGGTTCGTTTCTCAAAGCTGGTTCCTTTTTCCCTGTAACCAGCATTTCACAGAAGGGAGGAGCTAGAATAAGAGCCTCATGGGGGTACTTAAAGTAGGTTGGGTTGCCTGTGGAGGCAATGGATGAGGGGAAGAAGATAAATCCGGGCATGAAGTTCTTACAAAGAGGGTAAAGGGGTGTTGAAGGAGATGATCAAGGAGCAGCTGGAAAACTATGGAAGAGACAGTGAAGTCTTCTGAAGTCTTTCTTATTCGGAAATATTATTTTTTCTTCTCTAAGATAGTTTCTGATAAGTTCTCATTTGTTTCCTGGAGGGAGGTAAATATATCTGTCTCTCTTTTTTATGCTTTCAGGTACCAGTGCAAACAGCTTTACCATTCAATTTGTTTGGTTCTAAAAACAAGATTTTTCAAAATATGCTAGTTTTTGAATTTTCAAAAGAGCCTCATTTTGGTCATCATGGTTTAGGATAGTCTTAGTCACCATTTCCGCAGATATAAACAAGATGCTGCTGCCAGAGCTTGGCTTTGCTGAAGCCAGGAGCTGGGTACTCAATCCACGTCTCTAATGTGCATGTGAGGAACCCAGTTACATAAGCCACCACCACTGCCTCCCAAGGTCTGCATTAGCAGGAAGCTGAGGCTCAGTGTTGAACCCAGGCACTCCAGTATGGGACACAGGCATCTTTTTTTTTTTCTTATTTATTTGTTTGAAAGGCAGAGTTACAGAGAGGCAGAGAGGGAGAGGGAGAGGGAAAGAGAGAGAGAGGGAGAGAGAGAAATTTTCCATCCACTAGTACACTCTCCAAATGGTTGCAATGGCCTGAGCTGAGCTGATCTGAAGCCAGGAGCCAGGAGCTTCTTCCAGGTCTCCCACATGGGTGCAGGGGCCCAAGGACTTGGGCCATCTTCTACTGCTTCTCCAGGCCATAGCAGAGAGCTGGATAGAAAGTGGAGCAGCCAGGACTCGAACTGGCGCCCATATGGGATGCTGGCACTGCAGGTGGAAGCTAGCCCACTGTGCCACAGTGCCAGCCCCAACATGGGCATCTTCACTGGCACTTAAATGTGAGGCCAAATGTTCACTCCAGTAACCAGGTCTCTTATATGAAAATAGGCTTGGAGCGTCCACTCTTTAGAGATGGAAAATCCTCCCTCAAATTTCACTAAGAACACTAATTTCTAATTTTCTAAAGTTTCACCTATTTACTGCAGCAAGTCCATTTCAAAGATAAACATTTTCTGAGTCTTAATCATTTGTCTTTTCCCTATTTAACTGCATGCCTGTACCCATTGACTGTCTATACTCCATACTCTTTCCCAACCCTGCCTAAAACTACTATCTTGATGAGGGAAAACCCAAAGTGTTCTCTTTCATTCCTATTATACCTACTCTCCTCATTCTCCTCTCTGATCCTTTCTGTTGTTGTTGTTGTTTTTTGACAGGCAGATTTAGACAGTGAGAGAGAGAGACGCTATGCCGATCCGAAGCCAGGAGCCTGGTCTCCCATGCGGGTTCAGGGCCCAAGCACTTGGGCCATCCTCTACTGCTTTCCCGGGCCACAGCAGAGAGCTGGACCAGAAGAAGAGCAACCGGGACAGAACCAGCGCCCCAACTGGGACTAGAACCCGGTATGCCGGCGCCGAAGGCGGAGGATTAGCCAAGTGAGCCATGGCGCCGGCAGTCTCTGATCCTTTATTGGCAGTCCAGGTCTAAGTTATAGGAGATTGTCCCTCAAAAGTGTAGGTTTTGGAGTGTGACATTATGATATGCATGGCTTGGTTTTCTTCCATGGTACCTGGCTCATAACTTCCTTCCTAAGTTAGGTGATAGATTCAGACCCTCCTCACTCAAGAGGGGTCCTGGCCCAGGCCCTCAAGGAAGGAATGCTGATGGATCTGAGCAGATAGCTTCCTTCTGGGTTCCCCCACGCAGTCTGTTAGCAACCATGCCATTCAATGAAGTCTCCATAAAAAGACAGGTTTGGAGAGTTTCTGAGTAGCTGGACACGTGAGGGTTCCTGTACAGCGGAGCTGCCCTGTGAAACTATTTTTCCTACACATGGAGTCAGAAGTCTTGAATTCTTAACTTTGGCTTCTAACTCTGAGCATCTGGATAAGTCACATCATCTTTCTAAACCTCAAGCTCATCATTTGTAAACTTGGAATTCTAATACTACCTGCCCTGTTCTGAACCTGGAAAGTGAGAAAAAATATTTTTGAGTCTTTTCATGAGCTCATGTCTTATCTCTACTCATTCTGAAAACAGGGCTTGTGTTTGTATATTACCGGCATCAGGAACAGGATCTATTCAAGATGCTATTTCAGACAAAGCAAAGAAGAGAAAGTTTATATTTTCTGTAGCTGGGGGATTCATCTGGGACATGAGGGATAAGAAATGTTCTACCAAAAGGTAGTCAAGAGAGGTTAACGATTTTCTCAAATGATCAGCCACCCCCACCCCAACTGCTCTATGTGACAGCACCATGGTGTATAGTTCCCAATGTCTCTCATAGCATAACTTGAATCTTTTCCATTAAAAAGTGACATTTCATTCTATTCTTTCCGCAGGCTCCTGTTGTCTGAGCTTTGGCGCTCCTGTGTCAAGTCATAAATGTAATTGTCCATGGAAAATAGGGAGTTCACGGAGTCCGCGGTGGAACGAGAATGTTCCTGATGTGCCAACATTTCTGACGAGAGCCTGCAGTAAACTGGGGCACAACACTTCTCCCCTAACTGGTTCAACAACCTTCTTTAGAATCTTGCTGTTGTGATGCCTCTCATTTCGTACGCCTTCTGAGGCAAATGAAGGCAGTTGATCCATATGTGGAATGTTGGGACAATTGTATAAGTCTTTTGATTTTCTCTCTTGCATCTGTGTTGTGGCCTACTTGTGCTTCTAGGTCCTGTTGCTGACTACATATTTCCACATCTCTCCTGGGGAATGGATCTCCTACTGCTTGGGCGAGTCACCACTTTGAGTGTGTTGAATTGTATGTTAGTCACTGTTTTTACCAAACTGTCTAGTAGATATTTCTTAATGTTTCTGACGTATTCATTGTTAACTGATAAACTTTTTCCAAGTTTCATGGTTCTTTGGTCATTTCAATAGGATTATAAAAGGAAGGATTTTGACACGTGTGCTGAAATCATTATCTTTTCTGCATACTGAAACGCTTTGGAGTAAAGTGTATTGACGTCTTCAATTCACTTTCAAATACATCAAAAATAAGGTAAGTTATGGATAGATGTGCATGATAAACCAAATACAGCTAAATATTAATTCTAGAACACAGAGAGTAGGCATAAGAATGTTCATTGTGTAATTCTTGTAATTGTTTTTGTGTATTCGAAAATTCCTAATAAAATGTTTAAAAATTATTATTTTCATACTAGGATATGATTTTCTTAAAGTTTTTTTGATTAACATGTAATATTTGCATACTTTTACAGGATGCAGTGCATGCAGCTTAATTGATTTTTTTTGAATATTTATTTTATTTATTTGAAAGAGTTACAGAGAGAGAGAGAGAAAGAGAGAGAGAGAAAGGTCTTCCATTTGCTGGTTCTCTCCCCAGTTGGCCACAACAGCCGGAGCTGCGCCAATCCGAAGCCAGGAGCCAGGAGCTTCTTCTGGGTCTCCCACTTGGGTGCAGGGGCCCAAGGACTTGGGCCATTTTCTACTGCTTTCCCAGGCCATAGTAGAGATATGGACCAGAAGAAGAGCAGCTGGGACCAGAACCGGCATCTGTATGGGATGCCGGCATTTCAGGCCAGGGCTCTAACCCACTGCGCCACAGCGCCGGCCCCTTAATTGATTCTTTTTTTTTTTTTTTTTTTGACAGGCAGAGTGGACAATGAGAGAGAGACAGAGAGAAAGGTCTTCCTTTGCCGTTGGTTCACCCTCCAATGGCCAGTGCACCATGCTGATCCGAAGCCAGGAGCCAGGTGCTTCTCCTGGTCTCCCATGCGGGTGCAGGGCCCAAGCACTTGGGCCATCCTCCACTGCACTCCTGGGCCACAACAGAGAGCTGGCCTGGAAGAGGGGCAACTGGGACAGAATCCAGTGCCCCGACTGGGACTAGAACCCGGTGTGCCGGCACCGCAGGCAGAGGATTAACCTATTGAGCCGCAGCGCTGGCCCTTAATTAATTCTTAAACTTAACTGTCCTTCGTCAGTTATTTGGAGAGCATACTCAAGTAATTTCATAAATATGTACTGGGAATGTATATTTTCTGAGCCTATGATTATCTTTCGCCATCTCAAGATGTCTATATTTGGGTTATCACCTTTGTATAATCAAACTTCCATCTAAACTAGGTTGTTTTGTTAAACCTTAAAAATTCTCCTTTGAGTCCTTGTGCTGATACTTCCACAACTTGTTTTGAAAACAGAAATATCCCTGGTGCTTAAAACAATGCATATCAGTCATTTAATAACTATTTGTGTAATGAATGAATGAATATCTCTATTTCTCCTTCATTATCTGCACTTCTCAAAATTGTTTTCTTTGGCATAACTCAGCTTTTTGTTACTATATAGCTAAATACCTGAGAAGAATTTCCTAGGAAGGAAGAATCATTTTGGCTCACTGGTTTGGAAGTTCACAGTATAAGATCTGGCAGCCCCATTAGTCTGGTATCTGATGAGGGTAGAAAATGTTTGGAAGGAGGATAAATGGTGAGTCAGGAAGCAGAGACACAGGGAGTATGCTGTTCCTCCATACCCATGTGGCTTTCTTTATAAAACCATCATGATTCCATCATGGGTTTCACTGTAGCAGCCTAATCCAATCCAATCAATTCTCAAAGGCCACACCGTCAGACACCATAATTGGATCAAGCCTCCACCCTTAACCCATTAACCATTAACATAAAATGTCAGGGTATAAATACCTACATGAGTTTGGGGAGTCAAACCCGATGTAAACCATACATACATACATATATATGTGTGTGTGTATATATATGTATGTGTATGTGTATATACATATATGTGTGTGTATATACTCTTAGTTCCCTTTATTTATCCTATTCAAATTTGGCTTCTATCCTCACAATCCAACTGAAACTACTCTTGTTAGTATGACCAGTGGGCTCCAGGTTGCAAGTCAAATGATCATTTTACTAACTTTTAATTCATGCTTTCATCAGGATTTGACACGGTTTATCACTCCCACCTTCTTGAAATGTTTTCCTTGCTCAGTATCTGTGACATTAATCACAGAAGACTTGTAGGTTTGCCTCACACATCAACAAAGAAAAGAGCTGAGAGTGATTGGGACAGGAAACTAATGGTGATCAGCACATCTTTCTAAATGATGCTCTCGCATGTTGCTCCAAATCATGGGTCTCTATTTGTTTCCTTTGTGGGATCGAATTCAATTTTAAAGTATTTCTTTAAAAAAAAGCATTCATTAATTTGTTTGTTTAATTATTTATTCTAAATATAATCCTTATGACTTTTCTGAGCTTCATGAGGTCAGGAAACATATCTGTACTTGTTGGGTCCCAGCTTGGTCAACCAGGGATGGAGGGGTGTGCAGGGTCAGAAGCTGGAAGAAGATGGAACATGGTTTACTCAGCCAGCACCCGAACAACTCATGTGGTGGCTTGGGCAGGCTAACTTCAGAGCATTTTGAGGATTCATAGCTCTTTATTATCACAATGGTGGGTGAGAGTACACAAGAAACATATCAGTTTGCTTCTGTTAATTGACTAGCTACAGAGAAGAGGATTCACACTTCGCTCTGTCCTCAGTTTCTAATATATGTTTTACCGACAACAGACAGGCAGCTAAGGAGTTACAGAGAACTGTATGAGTTTCTGGGCCTGCTGACTAACAGAATTTGTATCAGCCTTCTGGGCCTGCTGACTAGCAGAAAATGCTTCAGCTACTGGGCCTGTCCAATTGCCATCATACCAGCTGCCACAGAGGCACAGATAAGGGAGAATAATAGTGTGGAAACTTGATAGACATCTTCTTCCCAAGTTCATCTCAACAGTACTGCTCACTGTTTCATCCCAAACACCTAGCATATTGTCTGACACAGAGTAGGAGCTCAAAATACCTTGTCGAGAAAATGAGTGAAACTAAACACATCTTTCTGACATCTTTCTGTTTCTTTCACACTTGAAAGACAATTTTGCTAAGTATAAAATTCTTGGGTCACAGTCACTTCCTTTCACAACTATAGATATAGACCTATTGTCTTTGTGCATTTAGTGATATAAGGAAGATCAGTTTGATTTGAAAACAATGTTTCATCTTGATTTTTTTTATTTATTTGAGAGAGAGAGAGAGAGAGTGAGCACTCTTATCCAGTGGGCTTGCTCACTAAATGCCTATAACAGCCCATGGGTGTGGCCAGAACAGCAAGCTTGGGACTCAATCTAGATTTCCCACTTAGGTGTCAGGAACCCAATTACTTGAACCATCACCGCTGCCACCCAAGGTCCCCATAATCAGAAAGCTGGAATCAAGATTTCAAAGCTGGCATTGAACCCAGAGCCTCCATTATGGATGTGGGCAACTTAACTGCTAGCCCAAATGTCCTCCCCACTTTTTTTAAAGGAAACTTTATTTTAAAATAATTTAGGTTCATAGGAAGTCTAAAATATGACACAAAAGAGATCACATGTATCCTTTATCCATTCCCTCTCCCTACTGACCTTGGTACAAAGAGTATAGACACGGGTGACCATGTTGTGATCAACATTCAGTACTGTTCCATAATGACAATGATCTCCTGGTGCTATACCTTTTCTAGCCTTTCCCCATCCTCTGCAATCCTTAATCTCTGCAATCACTAATCTGTTCTATATTACTCTACTTTAGTCTTTTCAAGAATGCTATATAAATGTAACTATAGTGTGCAACCTTTTGGGGTTGGCTTTTCTTCATTCAGCATGATGCCTTTGATACCCACTCAAATTATTGCAGGGAGCAATAGAGTGTGCCTTTAAATTCTGTTTTTTTTTTTTTTTCAGTATGAATGCCCTTTTTTGGCTATCACTTGAATGGAACAGAGGAAGGGATATGACAACTCCTAATCCTGGGAAGGCATCTTGTTCATCACCCTCTGAAAGCTCCCTTTATACTCTTGAGTATTATTTCAGTGTATGACTGTACCAGAGTTTGTTCAGCCATTCATTCATCAAAAGATGATTGGTTGCTTCCAATATTTTTGCTTCAGAAATAAAAGTTGTTACAAATATTTTCGTACATTTTTTATGTGAACATAAGTTTTTATTTATTGGACATAAATGCTCAAGGACAAAATTGCTGGGTTATATGACAATTGCATGTTCAGTTTTATTTTATTTTATTTTTTAAAGATTTATTTTATTTATTTGAAAGACAGAGTTACAGAGAGGTAGAGACAGAGTGAGAGGTCTTCCATTCGCTAGTTCACTCCCCAGTTGGCTGCAACTGCCAGAGCTGCGCCAATCCGAAGCCAGGAGCCAAGAGCTTCTTCTGGGTCTCCCACATGGGTGCAGGGGCCCAAGGACTTCTGCAGTTTTCTACTGCTTTCCCAGGCCATAGCAGAGAGCTGGACTGGAAGAGGAGCAGCTGAGACTAGAACCAGTGCCCATATAGGATGCCGGCACTTCAGGCCAGGGTGTTAACCCATTGCACCACGGCGCCGGCCCCATTGTTTTTTTTTTTTTTTTTTGAGAGAGTTACAGAGAGAGATAGAGACAGAGAGAAAGGTCTTCCATCTGCTGGTTCACTCCCCAATTGGCTGCAATGGCCAGAGCTTCGCAGACCTAAAGCCAGGAGCCAGGAGCCAGGAGCTTCTTCTGGGTCTCCCATGTGGGTGCAGGGGCCCAAGGACTTGGACCATCTTCTACTGCTTTCCCAGGCCATAGCAGAGAGCTGGTTTGGAAGTGGAGCAGCCGGGACTAGAACTGGCACCCATGTGGGATGCCAACGCTTCAGGCCAGGGCGTTAACCCACTGCGCCACAGTGCTGGCCCTGCATGTTCAGTTTTATAAGCAGCTGCCAAGATAGTTTTGTGAGTGGCTGTTATATTTTACATTCTCACCAGTAACCAGTGAGAGATACAGTTTCTCTACATTCTTGCCAGTATGGATTTGTTATGATTTCTTCTTTTAGCTGTTCTAAAAGTGTGTAGTGGTATGGTCTGAAGAGTTAATGATGTTGAATATATTTTCATATGCTTAGGCAACATCCATATAGCCTATTCAGTAAAATGTCTCATATATAATTTTATCTATATTGATATAGATAGTTAGAGAGAGGGAGAGAGACACTTCCACCCACTGGTTCATTCCTCAAATGCCCACAACTGCTGGAGTTGGGCTGGATCAAAACCAGGAGCCAGTAACTCAATCCAGGTCTACCATGTAGGTGGCAGGAATAAAACTAATTGAGTCATTTCCTGCTGCCTCTCAGTCTCTACATTAGTAGGAAGCCAGAATCAGGAGCTGGAGTCAAGACTCAAACCCAGGTAATCTGATATGGGATGTAAGCATCCCAACCGGTGGCATAACCATAGGCCAAATACCTGCCCCTCTTAATATATTTTGTTTATTTTCTAATTGCATTGTCTGTATTGTATTCTTGAATTTGGAGATTTCTTTATAAATTTTAGATACGTTAGCAGATATGTGGCTTGCAAATGTTTTCTCCCAGTCTATACCTTGACTTTTCATTCTCTTATGGTGCTTGGCAGAGCAAAGATCTGTAATTTTGATGAAGTCCAATTTGTTAATTTTTTCATGGATCATGCTTTTGGTGTCAAGTCTTCATCAAGCCCTAGATTCTGAGAATTTGTTCCTGTTTTCTTCTAAGATGATTATTTTTACATTTTATATTTAATTCTATGATCCACTTTTAGTAAATTTTTACATAAGATTTGAGGTTTATGTTTAAGATCATTTATTTACCTATGTATACCTGTTCCAGCACCATCAGAATGCTGGAGCATCATTCAGATCAATTGAATTATTTTGCCTCTTTGTCAAAAATCATTTGGCGTGACTTGTGTGAGTCTATTTTTGGATTCTCTATCTGCTCCATTGATGGATGTGTCTATGTTTCTACCAATAACACAGTCTTGATTATTGTAGCTATATGTCTTAAAGTCAGGTAGAGTGAGTCTTCCTAATTTATCATTCTTTTTCCACTTGTTTTAGCTATTACAGTTCCTTTGCCTTTCTATATTAATTTTAGAATAATCTTTTCTACATCTACAGAACATCCTGCTGAGATTTGATTAAGATTTTCACTTAACTTGTATATCAGTTTTAGTAGACTTGCCATCCTTATTGAGTTGAATCTTTCACAGTATTGTCTCCATTTATTAAAGTCTTCTTAAAATTTTTTTAATGATATTCTCTAGATTTCAGGGTATAAGTCTTGCATCTTTTGTTAAATTTGTTTTCTAAGTATTTTATTCTTTTTGATGCTTTCATAAAAGGAATTAATTTATTAATTTCATTTCTTGAATTGTTTATGGCCAGTGTATTTATATACACTTTCCAATTCCATATAATTGATTTTTGTGTATGAATCTTCTATCTCGTGACCCTGATGAACTCGTTTATTCATTCTAATATTGTTTATTTATGATATTATTTCTTATATATTGTTAAATTTGATTAGCTAATGTTTTATCTAGGATTTTTGCATCTCTGTGACATTGGCCCACAAAATTCCTTGCATTATCTTTGTTGGGTGTGGTTATCAAGATTATTTTAGCCTCACAAGTAGAGTGAGGGAGTGGATCTATGCTTCAATTCTCTTAAGATTTTTGATAAAATTGGAAAGATTTTTCTCTTGAGTGTTTATTAGAACATCCCCATAAAGCTGTTGTGGCATGATATTTTCTTTGTGTGAAAATGTTAACTGCTGTTTCAATGGTTTTTTAAAAAGACTTATTTGAAAAGCAGAGTAACAGAGGGGGGGGGGGATAGAAATGCCTTCCATTTGCTGCTTCACTCCCCCAAATGGCTGCAACAGCTGGGTCTGCAGCAGGTTGAAGCCAGGAGCTAGAAACTGCATCAGGGTCTCCTAGGCAGGTGGTAGTACTTGAGCCACTGTATGCTGCTTTTTCGGTGCATAGGCAGGGATCTGGATTTGAAGCAGACTAGTTGGGAATTAAATCAGCACTCAGATATGGGATGCTGGCATCACAGATGGAGGTTTAAACCGCTGGACCACAACACCAATTCTGTTTCTTATTTCTAATGTTTTAGTATTATTTGTATTTTTAAATTTTGTCTTGAATTAATTTTAGTGAGAGTGTTTTTCCTATAAACTTCTCCATTTTGCCTAAGTTTTCATTGGCCAACAGTTATTCATAATATCATCATTTTCTATTTACTTTTTGAGGCCTGCGTATTTATGTCTTCCTTTTCCATTTGTAATATCGTCTGTGTCTTCTTTCTTTTTCTTTAAATATTTATTTATTTGAAATGCAGAGTTAAAGAGAGAGAGAGAGAGGAAGAAAGATCTTCTAGGCATCAATTCACTCCCCAAATGGCAGCAAATGTTGGGGCCGGGCCAGGCTGAAACCAGGAGCCAGGAGCTTTTTCTGGGTTTCCCACAGGGGTGCACAAGCACTTGGGCCATGCTCCGCTGTTTCCCAAGTGCATTAACGGGGAGCTTGATAAGAAGTGGAACAGCCAGGTATGAAACAGGCACCATCTTAATTTGTTGTGCTAAAATTCCAGCCCCTCTCTTGATCCATTGTGTGAGATGTCTGTGTGGTCTGTTAATCCTTTCAAACCATAGTCTTTTGACTTTGTTGATTGTCTCAACTGTACCTTTGTTTTCTTAATTTCCTATACATATACCTATGATATGGTTTACTTTATAATTTAGGCACAGGAAGAGATTAACAACAGTAATTAACAATGAAAGTGCGATAATTAAGTGTAATAAAAGTTGATCTGATAACTGAGCTAGCTACAAAGTGAGTTACATACAAGTAGGGTATACAATGTAGCTATGCTGGACATGGGGATGAGTCACATCCGGGCAGGGGGAGGATACAGCAGGCCGGCATGAGATTTCATCATGTGCTACTCAGAATGGCGTGCAGTTTAATTCTTTTGAACTGTTTATTTCTGGAATTTTCCATTTACTATTTTCAGGCTGCAGTTGGCTACGGGTAACTGAAAAATGCCAAATGAAATCACGATAAGGAAGGGGCTATTTTATAACTGCACAAGCTTGTGTTTTAGGTGTATGTCTTCTACTTAGCACCTGTGTGTGTGTGTGTGTGTGTGTGTGTTTAAATATTGGGTGTGATAATTTTTGGTTTTCACCTGATTTTTTTATTTACATTCTAGTTATAAATTTAGTTTTTTTTCCTATTTGTCCCATTTATCCTTTTTCTTCATTTTTTTAGCCTTTTTGGATTTAATTTTTTCAACTATTTTTGTCATTCGTTTTACCTGTACTTGTTTAGAAGTTATATATTCAAAATCCATATTTTAATGGTTATGCTAGGTATTTTAAAATCCAAATTTTGACAAAATCTGAAGTTAATCAATATTCAAATCCTTTCGCTGAACAGTGCAAGATATTAGAATACTGCAACATAAGTGCTGTATTTTCTGTGATGTTTCAGTTTTAGCTTGCTGTGTTTTTGTTTAAAAATTAGGCATTATTTTTGTCTTATACAATCAATATTTATTTAGTTTTAGCTTTATCCACACAGTTACTATTATCTTTATGCATCAATCCTTTTTTTTTTTTAACCTCAGACCCTTCATTTGGAATCATCTTCCTTACACTTGAAGTATATATAATTTTCTTTTTTTTTTTTTTTTGAGAAGGGGAGAGAGGGAAAATTCCTACGCACTGGTTTACTCTCCAAATGCCCTCAAAAGGCAGGGCCGGGTCAGACTGAAGCCTGGAGCCAGGAACTGAACCCAGCTCTCCCATGTGGGTGACAGGGATCCAAGCACCTGCTGCTCCACACTCTCCAGGATGCACATAAGAAGGAAACTGGAATATGGAGTAGAGTCAGGATTTGAATCCTAGCATTCTGACACAGGACCTGGGGTCTTAACTGGTGTCTTAACCACTAGGCCAGCCCCTAAATTATATCCTTTTGAATTTCCTTTAGTGAGAGTCTCTTAGTGATCAACATCTCAGTTTTGCTGTGTCTGAGAGTATCATGATGTCACTTTTTT